AAAGACTATTAGACTTCGACAAAAGAATACAAATCAACAAAAGCTTCAGTAACAATCTTCTAAAACAAAAAACAGAAAGAATAATCGTGTATCTTTCGAGCGCCATCTACCGGCAGAGTTCCTTGTAAAAGAATTTGTGGTAACTATTCTATGGTTTGATGCTTTGTGGTTATTTTTCCATGATGGCAAACAGTTAGTGATTGAGTATAAATGTAAATGTGATGTTTTGACCAGGAACCTGTCAAAGGAGTTGGGTTATTGATGATGCAGTAAATTGAAAAAGACTTAATAAACAGGGCCATCAAATGAAAATCGATATTTGCGTGTTGATAGGAGGCGTTGTTTTGGTAACCTTTCCATCAAGATGGCAACATAAGCTTTGATAATCAATCTGGTTATGCAAAATGGATGTGCGTAGAATGACACTGGCATTTTCTTTGATTGATATTACAGCCTACTGGCAACGTTTGTGGTGGATCACATAAAGCTGAAACACCTTGGATTAATTTTTGGAAAATTTTTAGCATTGCCAAAAATAAGTGGCAGGCGGAATTCGTATTTAATTGTGATTGCCATGTACTTTACAATTTTCTGTTCACAAAATATTACGGTATATTCCGAAAACGCTAATGATTTGATTAAATTTTAGCTACATCACTGATCATGAATTTCGATTGAAGACTAGTCATTTTTCAATGTTCTGATATATCTTAGTAACAATACAATTGCCTTTTTATTTCCTTGTACGAAACAAATGAATTATTGCAGCCGGGAAAAATTTCAGACAATATATGTTAACGAGAATATCCATTTTGACAGCTCTCGCATCCATTCGAACGCTTTTTTTATGTGATACTGTATGTACGGAAAGAATAAAGGACTATTTCGGACAGTAAAATGGACACAAAATGGATTCAGAAGGAATTTTATTGTGACGTCTGTACGTACGTATGTATATGTACGTATGCGGGAAAACTCAAAAACGATCAGCCGCAGAGCGTTGAAATTTTGCACATGGGGCAGCAATAACTGGTATAAGATATAGTTGTGCACCTACTATTTTTGTTGCAATCGGCCAACGTATATACATGTATAAAATAGACACCTACATTACCCTCTTACCCGGCTCGGTAACCTCCGTGTCTTTTTCTTATATGTTGGTAAATTGTGCATTTTTTTTTCATCAAATTGATTGAATTATATTGTTCTTATCTTCCAGTTAAGGATTTTATGGCTTTATTTAATTCGAATGCAACAGTTATAGAATTATCAGAGTTTAAAAGTATAAGTGGCGACTAGGCCTAACGTGGCGGCTGTTAGTTTACATTTGAAACTCTTAGTAGAATAGTGAATTAAGCTAGTTGGTGCACCAACTTCGGTAACGTTTTTCCCAATAGAAGCAAAATTTAACTTTAATGTTTTATGCACTGGTAAATTTTATCTTTGTGCCTGTTGACCGAATTGTTTGTTTTGACGTATAAACTCTAATGTTAGTTGAAAACACAAATTAAACTTTTTTTTAACTGTATATGGTGTTTCAGTTCTTTTTTTTTTTTTTTTTTTTTTTTTTTTTTTTACAATTTTTTACATGTACATATTTTGAGTTTTTCTGCATTTTTTCCTTGCCGCGAAGTGAGACCTGAATTTGTTGAGTGAGAAGCATGTTTCTAATGAAATTCGAGGAAATAAGTTTAAACGAAGTGCAGCAAAAGATGTGTGTAATTTAATAAGCAGGTACAAGGAAGTAGGAAGTATATGGTGTCCATACCGGATATTTTGAAGTCGAAATGATGCTCTTAAAATTTTACTTATTATAAGAAATTTATTAAATTAGAATTCTTAAAAATATAAGTAAAAATTCTTAAGTTTATGAAAATTAATATAATTGTTTTTAATATTTGTCTCTTTGAGGGTTTCTCAACCTTTTTTGATATAGGCACCCCATTTACCATGGTTAGACGATCAATTACCTCTCCCCATTCTAAGACTGAAAAAAATACATGTATATTTATTTAAATTTAGATTATGTTTCAATATGTTCTATAAATTGAATATGAAAAACAATAGAAATTTTAATAAATATCAAAACCTAAATTAAAATAGTGTTTTATGTTCATAAAATAAAACTAAATACGAGTATTTAACATGAAAGTAAACGAAAGGCTGATTACTCCATCCTCTTTAAACAATGAAATTCCCCTCCGGGGGAATTCCCTTCTTGAATGAGAGCCCCTGTTCTATATAATCAGAATAATATCATGTATAGGGTGCTTCAAAAATTTGAATTCCTTGTATAAAAAGCAAAACGTATGCCCAATAAAAATGTAGGGCTATCCATGACGTCATCTGACCGTGCCTTTCGTGTTTCAGCAAAAATCCCCCCTTTTTTTTTCTTTACTCGTTAGAGGAGGAAGATTGTTATTAGTTTCAATGAATAAAACAATGTCTGATAAACAGACGTTGTTAACAGTCTGAAATGGATAAGATCTTTCTTTTACAGTCAAATCCCTCCCGACAAACTAGAAAGGAATTGTTTCGAATGAATCGGACCCTACTGGAAAAAGCTTATTTATTGCAGAACGATGATGAAAAATCACAGTATTTTCTTATTGCTATTTAAATGTCCTCAAGCGCCCTCATATCTGGGCCATATGGTGACAAATCTTTTCATGGCAGACGGATAACAAATGTCCATATTTAGGAACTGTTATCCGTTTGGCGATGGTTTGCAAAATAGTACCGTTTCCCAGTGACGCAGTCCATTAGCAAGAAAGTTCTGAGCACCAGTTAAATAAAGGGGAGCATAATAATAAGGAAGTACCAAAATTATTATCAGAAACGATCAGCGTAAAACGTAACTTTCTATGGAAAATATAGAAAAGAAAGGGAAAGTAACTCGGTTAACAGTAGTGACATCAGATGATGTCTTAGTATTTGGGAGTTGTCATTTTTTACAATATACGCAATTTAAGTGTACGTAACCTTGAACAGATAAACATTGTACGACAAAAAAAAAATAATAATAATCTAATCAATTATTTTCTACACGGCTTTGAAACCAACGAGATTTAAGTTACTTTGAAAATTATGATCTTTAATCAGCCAAACATTATGAACAGTACATAAATTTTGCATTATTCCAATGAGGGATTCCCTCCGAGTATTGAGATTCAGGCTACAACTTCAGTCAAATGAACGTAATGAACGTCATAAATTAACCTGTGCATTCTTCCATAGAGGAATGCCCTCCGAGTATTAAGATGAGGGGTATAGAATCAATTAAACATTATGAACAGTACATAAATTAAATTTTGCATTATTCCGATGAGGGATTTTCTCCGAGTATTAAGATTAGGGCTACAACTTCAGTCAAATGAATATAATGAACAGTTCATAAATTAACTTGTGCATTCTTCCATAGAGGGATGCCCTCCGAAGTATTTTGATTAGGGGTACATAATCAGTCAAACATTATGAACAGTACATAAATTAAATTTTGCATTATTCCAATGAGGGATCCCCTACGAGTATTAAGATTAGGGCTACAACTGCAGTCAAATGAACGTAATGAACAGTTCATAAATTAACTTGTGCATTCTTCCAATGACAGAGGCCCTCCGGATATATAAAGATTAGAGGTACGGCGTTGGTTAAATAAACGTTATGAACAGTTCATAAATTAACTTTTGCAGTCTTCCAATAAAAGATATCCTCCGAGTATTAGGATTAGGGGTACAACATGGATCAGATGAACGTTATGAAAAGTTCATAAATTAAGCTTTGCGTTTTTTTCGATCAGGGATGCCCTCCCGGTATTAAGATTACGTCTACAACTTCGGTCAAATAAATGTTATGTTTCATTCTTGTTTTTTCACAGTGCGAGAAACATACGTATGAGTATACTCATGCAGTTTCTTTATTTCATAATTTCTTTAAATTTAATGCCGGGCTCTAATATTTGGTGGCAACAATATGAAAAGTGAAACGCAGTTTTATAGCGGACAATGCAAAACGCCGAAACGAAATTAATAGCCCTTCTTGGCAAACTGCCTCTTTGGGATAAAAATAAAAAACAAAGCCGGAATTTTTAATTTTTTCAGTTGAATTTTTATATTATTCTTTTTAGTATTATTCAACAGGAAAAAAAAAAAAAAAAAAAAAAAAAAAAAAAAAAACATAAAATGCCCGAAAAATTCAGGTTATTAACAATCGCCGGAAAGGGATTTTAGGGTTCATTTAACACTTCGTTTATCAGTAGAGATATCTTAGGTGGCACAGAGAAATATATTAGATGAATATGCATTTAGACTATCATGGGGACTTTATGTTTTATATATTTAAAAAGTGAAAAATATGTTATGAAATTCTGTAAAATTATTTCATGTTTATAAAGATATGTCTTGTGAATTCAATGCATTTTTTCTTGCCAAAAAAAAAAAAATATATATATATATATATATATTAAGAAAAACATCTACTTTTAAATAGATTAGTTTGTTAATTAATGACAGACAAACAAACCTTGAAAGAATAATATCCTGTATTTATCCGAATTGTAACAGAGTCGAATGAAAAGTGAAACAACGCGTTTCGAAACTAACAGGCCTTTTAGGCTGATAAAGATTTAGTTTTATAAGTTATTTCTCCAGCCTTTTTAGCATGACTTCGTGGTGTAGTGGTCAGCAAACTCGGCGCGTATCCGAGAGGTTCATGGTTCGAGTCCCGGTGAGGTCATTGCTCATTTTTCATCTCTTTAAAAAAGTACTTAATGAATCTAGAAGAGAAAAATTTGTATGTATTTAAAAACATTTATAATGTTTTATACACTTTGTAAATGTTTCATAACCAGCTTTTCTCTTTACCGTTACACTGTCATTTGAAATACTCCGATTGCAAATTTTCAAGTTTTATTAATGTTCCTTTAATCTCATTTTATATAGCTGTAACGTAAAATTGTTATCTATTGTGGCATTGTTTAATTTACGTGACATCTTTTTCAGGTTACATTAACACTTATCATGGTTCAAGAACAGGTTTTTATTTCTCCGCCGCCTGTTCTATCGCCGGCGCTGCTGTTCTGTTCCTAAACAACCTCACCTCCAGGTATCCTTACACCAGGAACAGGGGCCATGGGTCTTGCAGCACGTGCACCTCGCAGACGCCATCTTGTTGCTGCACGCAGGATTTCAATTTACCCCAAAGGTAGTTTGTCTCTAACTGAATCTTGTTTATATTTATTGGTATGATACTCAATGCTCATATTACTCAAATGAACACTGATGTGCAGGGTGAAAGGACATTGTGCAATAAGAAATGTCATAAGAAGTGCCATAAGAAAACTTCAATAATATATTGTTACGATTTTTCTTTTCTGACACCAGTTGTTACGTTATTTACTTCCTTCACGTTCGTAAGGGGTTCGTATGGATTTGAAGTGAATAACGACAACACTTGATGAAGTTTCGAAACACACTTTATTTACCAATATTAATCAGGACAGCTCCAAAACACTTTTACAGTCGTCGATGAACTACTATAAACACGCTGACACGATCAGCGACACAGCCTTCAGGTTTTCAGGCTAGGTGGAGACAGCTTCACTGCAAAGCACCAGAGTACAGCTCCCGACTCTTCGGTTCAGTCGTTCCCGGAGCTCAACACGCTCACTCGACGATGCGCTAACCGCGATACACTAACAGACTCCTTCGGTGAACTCGACGACCCACTCGGCACTGGCTGTCCGGCTGTCAACTCAATCGACTCCGCAGGGATTGACTCGCTAGACGAGACAACAACTCGATACTGACTATCTCGCACTCTCACTCGAACACTCTCACTCGAGGCATTCTCACTCGCCCTCTCGACGAGGCACATTCGGAGACACTAACTGACTGCGGACCAGCAGGGTTTTATATAGCTTTCGGCTTGTGTTCGAGAACATTCTGGGCTAAACCGATAACAATTCCTTCCAGAAGGTTCACCATCCGTCCATGGCATATCGCCGATTTTGTCGCCAAATGGGCGATTTATCGCCAAATGTGGCAAACATGCCTGCCCTTGCCATTTTACGGCAACCCTAAAACTGCTTTGCGGGGAAGCTATCTCACCGCGTCTGGACATTTCGTAACAATATGAACCCGAGCGGCGTATCCGCTCAGCCAATCGTAATGAAATTTCAGATATTGTCTTTTGAAGGTATGCACTCTTGATTGTGATGATTGAAAACAATAGAGCTCTGATGGTAACGGTTACAGTGAAAACATTTCGAAATTTTCGAATGGCACCACCCATACTTTTCCTTCGCAAATTGGTGGGTGGAGTGAAAACTCATAAATAACGTTGGAATCTTACACGTATATCGAAAATTTCCGGAAAGAAGAACATTGTAAAGGAAAAAAATAAGGACACAAGAAAGGACAGGGAAAAAACTTTTATTGGAATTACAAGATTTCAACGTGTAAATTACGCAAAACAAAAAACAAAACAAAACAAAACAAAACAAAAGACAGTTCTATATCTTCCGTTCTACTGGGACGATTAACGAAATTCAGCTTGCGTTTTTCATGTTTCGAAAGCGCGACTTAGGATATGTATAAGATTTATACAGAGCATTATTCTAATATAGGTATTTTGACACAACATCGGCCATTTTCTGAAATAACATGCAATTTTTTTTCCATAATTCGCTTCTACGACTCAAATTACGCAAAACTACCAAGTTTTGTAAAAATCGCAAGAAAGTAGTTTTTAAAAAATTAGCTCTCGAATTTTTAGCTCCTGGATGTTAATTGAGTTTGGCATATATTTATTAATCTCTCTTTTTATTATTAAACTTATTTGATTCTTCCTTTCCCATTGCGAAATTCAGGTTTGTTCCAAAAAAGAATTCACCCATTTCATGATTTGTTGATAAAATTTGTATTTTAAATAATTTTTATAAGTTTTTTAAAAACTATTTCTATAAAAATATTCTATAGAAAATTTCTATAGATTATAGAATTATAAGCTATAAAAATTTTACCATTATCTTAAAGTAGACGTATTTCTAAGCATACCTGCAAAAAATTACACTTTTTTATTCAAAATTTTCGAAGATATACGTGAATTTTTATATTGGCGTGTTTTGAAATTTGGCATATTTGTTGAAGGCGATAAAACACCAAATGTGGTTTAGACATTTTGCTAAAATTATATGAACGAAGTGACGTTTTTTCTGCTCATGCACAATGTAAAAAGGTAGGAACGAGAGGCCTTTTTTTTCCGCTCTGGCAGAATGGAAGGGAAAGGAAAATAGGTTGCCATATATTAAGAAGTTCGCCAAGTGAATTATTCTTGGCAAAAACTGAAAAAAAAAAAAAAAAAAAAAAAAAAAAAAAAAAAAAAAGACTAGATAAATTTTACAATTTCTCCGTAAATTTCGTACCAAATTTTACAAAATTTAATAATTTGCATAATTTGAGTGGCAGAATGGAAATATGGAAAAATAGGTATATTATTTCAGAAAATGTCCGATTTTGTGTCAAAATACCTATATTAGTACAATGCTATATATAAATATACATATATATCCTAAGTCGCTCTTTCGAAACATGAAAAATGCAATTTGAATTTTGTTAATCGGCACAGTAGAGCAACCATCTCCCATAACTTTACAGTTTTGTGGCCACTTTGATCTCCCGATCTCCCACCGATTGATTTCCGGTTTTGGGATTATCTGAAATCTAAGATTGTAGAGACATTAGGTATTTTGGAAGCAGGCAAGATGAAAAATGAGCAACACCTTCACCGGGAATCGAACCGCGGACTTCTGGAATACGCGCTCAGTGTGATGACCACTACACTAGGAAAGCATGCTAAGAAATATCTTATAAGATGCACTCGTCAAATCCAGGAGATTTGCTAGAATTGCAAAATGCCATAAACGTGAAGTTATACATATTTCTCTTGCGACTTTTGATTCATCATTGTTGTCAACAAGTTCTCTCATGCAGTGCGTTATCGTCTGCGTAGGTTGGCGCGTTGAAAATTTGTAATTCCATAAAAAAGTTTCGCCCCCTTTTCTCTTTTGTATTGTCATTAGTAAGTTTCGTGACATGTGCATTGTTCCAACTCCATTCATGGTTTTCCAGTGCGCTGATCAATTTGCGCAGAAAACACGTCAGTGTTGCCATTCGAAAATTTCGAAATGTCTTCACTGCAACCATAATCATAACCGTACTGTTTTAAACGATCACAATCTCGAGCATATAGGCCAGCAGGCGTTCCTATATGGGGGAAGTTGCTTAAGACCAATCTGTGTATTATTAACTTCAGTTCTAAAATTAAGACACAATAACACGCCGAATAAATACTAATTCAGAAGTTAAACAACAAAATCAGCGTTATATATTCACAATTTTCACAGGACTAGTTTATGGTTTTACTGAACCACCATCCTCAGCTGCAAAACCGCAAATCATTATTTCCTATCTTGTTCATTTGCGGTTTTGCAGCTGAGGATGGTGGTTTGGTAAAACCATCGAAACTAGTCCTGTGAAAATTTTGAATATATAACGCAGATTTTTGTTGTGTAACTTCTGATTCAGTTCCTAAACCCCTGCAATTGATTGATTTAAGATCTCAATTAGTTAAAGCATTAGAACAAACAATATAACTTTCACCTAAGTAACCAGACTTCAACAAAGCTTAAAAGCTTTCGTTGCTGCTAATCCTAGTTGCCTGATCTAATCAGAACAAGCCCACGTATTTTACTATTATAACAAAAAGCACAAGATTTCATTTGTTGCTGGCACGAGTCTTGAGCACCATATCATGAGCAGTATGATTTTGCCCAATTCCGCTGCAATTTTGAAGAACAGCATCCTGTGGTACGTATCCAGGGGTCTCCTACCCCTCTTCCCTTACCACTAAATCTAAAATAGAACCTTGTTATAATCAAGTGCTGCATTTTCTTAAAATGTTAAAAGCTGTGGGTACTTTAATTCCAAAAGTTGTTTTAACAAGTGCCAGTTATACTTTTTTTCTATCTAAAGCGTTTGAACCACATTGCTAAGATTTTTAGGCGGTAAAAGGTTCAAAGCTTAACCCTTAAATGCATGAATTTTTATTTTTATTTTTAGTCAAAAGTACATTAGAAATGATATCGAATAAAACAGGAAAAATGCTAAACATGCTTAAGTCTAAACTAAGTTTTTATTCCAGTTTTTGAAAAATATTACTAATTTTTACAAATTATCTTTTGCAAAAAATATAATAGGCAAATGCGTAATAATAATTTTACTACACATTTATAAACTTGTTCAAACAATTTATAAACGTTGCATGCATCAAAACAATAATAAATACAAAATCAAAAATTCGTAAATACAAATGATATTCACACCCTGCACATCAACTCACGATAATGACTGTTACACCTTTAGTGTAACACTGAAACTTTCAAACCTATATGCGTAAACACTTTGTATTCAATTGGTTACACTATGCAGTAAGCTAAAATTTGTATTTTGATTTGATTTACATGACTAAATATGAGCATGCTGCCAAATGGAAACTACATGAAGTTAAAGATGGTATCTTAATTTATCGGATTGGCAAGAAGGTAATTTCGGTTTTTTAGTACAAATAAAACTCAGTTTTTTTTTCTATACAAAAAATGAACTAAGTTATAATAAATTAATAACTAAGTTATAATAATTAATAACTGAATAAGTTAAATATATTCCGTGCTGTTCGATGACCTTTTGCCCTCTTTCTGGTAACTTTATGATTCCGCTGATTTAGATCTTATGGTCTTTATCAGCAAAAAAACCCAACCAAGTGCGATTTGACATCGTCGTTATTACCAAACTTTTTACCTCTTATAAACTTCGAAATAAATGATAATCCGATAATGCAGGTTCAGAGCTATGTGTGTGTATGGGGGGCGACATCACTTTCCAACGAAGCTCGAATATTTTCGTATATGTTGTAGGGTTTATATTTATTTTAACTAACATTTATTTTAAGCTATCTTTCCTGTCAAGCCTTTACTTTCCCCTAGAATTGCCAATGCCAGAGTATGTAAATAATAGTAGAACGCGCAGAGTATTCAAATTTTAAGCAGAAGTATTTGAGTTAAATAGAAGGGAAGCGAGTTTGTAAGTGTGCTTCTTGAATCACGAGCGTGAAGGTTGCTTGGTAGAAATTTAAGAACCGCGCGTTTCGGCCTCTGCGCCTATTTCGACAGTTCGTTGAATCTTTCAAATTCTTAATCAGAAAGTTTGCTGAATCTCAGCTGTATCTTAGAACGCGGTTAAGATAGTTACAATTATAGAGCCTCGTAGATAGTGACTTCGTTAGTTATTCATCCTGTCATATATTTTTAGTTGTACTTTTCTATTTTTGTTTAACCGCCGAGTCGGCGTAGTTTGTGAGCGTCGAGTGAACGCAACTGTGATTTCTAAAGCGAAATAAAAAAAGGAGTTAAACCCTTCTTAAGAGTCTGTGTAATTTCCAGTTCATAGCAGTCATTACTACTATTGCTGACAATTTGGGGCCTCTCAACATCAGAATATTGCTAAATGTGTGTAAGCACGCAACCATGGCGTGTTTCAACCATTGCCATGGTTGAAACAAGATTCCTTTACGATTTGTCAACACTAGCCTTTTATCTTTGGTTGCTTCCTCCAGTTTCAAAGGGTGTTTGGCAGTAAACATCTCAGTTGATCGTTTGGTTGCTTGGAAGCGCTTAAAATACGCAACACGTTTGTAATCCCACCAAACTGATAACATGCTCTTTTCTGATGCAATTTAGATTTCGATACGATTTGTGCTGATTCATCATGCTTGGACCATGATCGTTTTCGATTAATGTTACTGTAATCGATTCATTTTTCATTACCAGCGATAATTCGTTACAGAAAAAGGGTCTATTGCGTTACGTTTGGAATGCGCATCACACATATTGACTCATGGTGTACCGTGAATTTCTTTCAGTTTCATGGGGAACCCAAATATCGAGCTTCTTAACGAGTCCAAGACATCTTATGCTATTTTAAATTGCTCTGTGTGATGTATTTACCATTCTGCAATCTCTCGCGATTTATATGATGATTCGTTTCAGTTATGGCTTTAATTTTATTACAAACTTCAGACGGTCGGTCATAACGTTGGTCATCTTCAAGCAAAAACTCTCCAGATGAAACTATTTCAAACCAAATCTGACACGCATATTCTGTTGAGCAATCAGTACTGTTACGAAATATACAGGCGCGGTAAGATGGCTTCCCCACAAAGCAGTTTAGGGTTGCCATAAAATGGTAAGATAAGACAGGGTTGCCACTTTTGGCGAGAAATCGCCCATTTGGCGACAAAATTCGCGATACGTCATGGACAGATGGAGAACCTTCTGGAACGAATTCTTACCGGTTTAGCCCAGAATGTTCTCGAACACAAGCCGAAAGCTATATAAACCCAGCTCGTCCACAGTCAGTTGTCAGCGAGCTGATAGTCAGTCATTGGTTAGGAATGAGCCGCCTTAACTTTGTGTGATAAACTCTTTGGAACCAGCTTTGAACTCTTTGAGTATCTCGAAGTCTAGCGCCGAGTTGTTCGTCGAGTGCATCGAACAGTCTCTTAGTGTATCGCGGGTAGTGCATCGTCGAGAGAGCGTGCTGAACTTCGAGAACGACTGAACCGAAGAGTCGGGAGCTGTACTCTGTGTGTCGTCGAGTGCATCGCTAGTTGTAGCTTGGAGAGTTTCGAGAGTACGTGGAGTTCCGAGAACGACCGAACAGAATCGGGAACTGTACTCTGGTGCTTTGCAGTGAAGCTGTCTCTACCATTGATAGCCTGATAACCTGAAGGCTGTGTCGCTGATCGTGTCAGCGTGTTTATAACAGTTCGACGACTGTAAACGAGATTTTGGAGTTGTCCTGATTAATAGCGGCCAATAAAGTGTGTTTCGATACTTCATCAAGTGTCGCCGTTATTCACTTCAAATCTACACGAACCCCGTACGAACGTGAACGAAGAAAATAACCTAACAACTGGTGTCAGAAAAAGAACGCAACAATACCATAAACTTCACATATCTCTTTGCAAGTCTCAGCCGTTTTCTTACCTTTCTGAAAATAAAAAAAGTAAAATATTTCGGAAACTTTCATTTTTGCACGCCATGTAAAATTGATCGCAAATTAAGGGGAATCGGAAATCCCTATACCGACAATGTTAAATTGGCCATTTTCGATGTACATTTTTTAAAAATATGCTGTAAATACACATTTGAATTTTTTTGTGTAATTAAGGTATACCTACCTGATTATACTGAAATAGGTTTTCTAAACGTTTCGAATTTTAAAGTATTTATAGAATATTATATTACGCATAGTAAAATTTAGCACTTTCCTCACAAAACTAATTGTGAAAACTTCTTTTCTTAGTTTATCATAAAAAGCTTATTTCAGTAAATATTAGGAAATATAATAAATAAGCCATAAAAAATTTACATACATGTGAGCAGTAGTTCCTGAGAAAAAGGTACATCGAGTATAAAAAATCACGTTTGGAGAAAAAAGCATTTTTATGTAAAAATCTTTATTTATCAAAGCATTCCATGATAAATTAAAACTAGGTTTTTATCTAATTTTCATTGAGCTTAAAGTATGGTACTTTTAGAAAGCTAGAAGTGTCGAATCTGGAAATGAAAAAATCCCGAATCACCATTTTTTGAAGATTTTTGGCTTCCAAAAACCTTAACAGTTTGTAAACAGAAATACTCGGAATTTGTTTCTATCGCAACTTAAAAATGTCAGCTTCCAAATCTCAAATAAAAAAAAAAAAAAAAAATAGAAGATTATGAGAAGAACAACAAAACGAACATAGCGCCATTTATTTGTACAAACTGAAATTACTTTCTTGCCAACTACATAAAATTGCTGATATATTTTATGGTTTCTTCAACAGTCGCCAAGAATCTTCTGGAGGACACCCAAAGTGCCAGAAAACGATCTCCTTCAGTGACACGGTCGACATTGCCGACGATGACAGCCCACCCAGAAGATATCCTTTGAACTCCAAACCATATGAAGCACAAAATGAACCAATGAGGCCTATTTCCGACACAAATAACGCCTGGGCATGCGCAAACGACTTCGAGGAGAACATTGATGTGGACAATCTGGACGAGAACATTGTCATTTGCTACGACAACTACGACAATCGACCCACAAATAATGCTGTAGTTGTTGTCGAAGATCGCAAACCCGTGATCCGTTACGGTTGCGGTCATTACGAAGGGGAACTCGAGGACCCCGTCGCTGTACAACTGCCTAAAAGACAAATGACAGTTATCGAAGAAGTGACCAGTAGTGTATGAGATATTGTAATAAAATGTTGAATTTATGTAGTTTTTATTACTTTGTGTGGCTTCTATTTAGAGTTTTCTAAAAATTTAATGTGTTTAACTAACGAAACATATCTATGCCGAATGTTTTCTGCGGTATAAAGGTACCACTATATCGTACGGTGGTGCCACTACATCGTAGTGGAAAATGATAAAAGTAGTTAAAGAACGACAATGGAGGAGGTCTAGCTGAGCTATTTCTAATTCTTGATGTTTCCAATTCTTTAAGACAGACGACATTTCTTTGTTTTGACAGTTTAATCTATTCATGTCTCAGAATTTTGATTCACCACCATTTATTAATGGTAAAACAATGTTAACTGTAATAATGCTCGATTCCTGTTGTATCATAGGAATTACTGAGACTTAAAAATTTGAACCTTTATGCTGGTTCCAAAGCGTTTATCACACAAAGTTAAGGCGGCTCATACACCTTAAACCCCTTATGATCTTCGAATATGTGGCTGTTGCAAGAATTATCTAATAGTTGCCACATGTTCTATTCAAATATTCAAATATTATAATAAATCTAAAACGATGTATAAAACAAATTAAACAAAAACAAAAACAAAAAACAGTTTTTTACAGACAATTCAGTATTTTTCATTCAATTAAATCAGTTCTCACTTCGCTGCACGGATAAAAAACATAAAACTCAAAATACCTGTATTAAAAATTACGAAGTAAATCTAAAATACTTATTTCTTCGAATAATAAGACCCAGAATGGATTAAGCATGATTTAATACTCAATAATAAAAGAAGGCGTTATCTTTGTTGTTGTGGAGCTTAGTTTCTCTAGATTGGCAACAAATCCACTATTCCGCCACGTTCAAATGTAAAAGAACATGGCTGCCATGGCAAAAATAATTAGGCTTAGCCAGATTTAAACAACTTTTAAATTGTTGATAATTCTACAAATATTGCGCGCAGATTTACTAAAGGCATATAAGTCTTAACCGGAAGACAAGAACAATATAATTTAATCATTTTTAAAGCAAAAAATGCGCAATTTACAAACATATAAGAATAAAAAAAACTGAGATCACTGAGCCGAGTAACAGATTGGGAGTATTTATATACGTTTGGCGCGGCCGATTGAAACCAAAATACGAGGTGCACATCTACATGTTATAGTAGTCCTATATACAAAATTTCAACGTTCTGAGGCTACTCGTTTTTGATTTACGCGAGATACGTGCGTGTGTGTATACGTACGTCGGCAGAGAAGCCACGAAAAATTCTCTTCGGAATACTCGTTTTCGAATTATGCGAGATACATACATACCCACATATGTAGGCATGAACGTCACGAAAAATTCCCTTTTGAATCTATTTTAAATCCTTTTTGCAACCCGTTTTGGGGAAAAAAGTCCTTACGTAGAGGACAGAACAGGATAAGTATATGTACACAAATAAACAAATAGAATTGAATGAAAAAACGTTAAACATTATTATCTTGGTTAAGTTATAGAGTATTAATGTGATGTTTTTGCGACAGTGGTAGCAGGTCACAGTTCAGCAGTTCAGGACAGTGTAGCAGTTCACAGTTCATGAAAAGTTCATGTATTGAATCAGAGCTCATACATACAGTAGAGTTCACCAGCTCCAGTTATGTCATCTTTGATGTGCATAACCGTGGTCGTATTAGTACCGGGATGTGCATAACCGTGGTCGTATGAGGTCGTATTAGGTTTGTATCGTTCGGGGCTAAATCAGTATTGACCTTGATACACTAAGATAATCTATTGCAATGACTATAAAGGCACCCCCATTGGAAAACTGGCGTTTGTGCCAGAGAAGAAGAAGCAGTTATAACAGTTATGGTGCACGCAGTTATGGTGCCGTGACGATGGAGTGTGTCAATTATGTTTTTGGTACTAATGTGGACTTTACAATGATTTATCAGGAAGCGTTTGAAGTCTGTTCTCGGTGTTGTGGGGCGACAGATATGATGGTCGGCCGTTATTGGGCATTGAAATAAATAATGGTTTGGATCATCCGAATTGCCACAAACGCATATATCAGTCTCTGAAAGGTTTCGTTCAAAGAAGTACTTTGGGTACGGTCCATAACCAGAGATATATTGAGAGATATAATAATTATAAATGGTGCGCTCAGGCAGAAGGACGCATTCCTTCTGCCTTGAGGTCCTTGGTCCCATTGTCTCTGCCACTGTTCTTAGGCCATCACTTTTAGAGTAAACTTCAGTGTGGAGCGTGGGCATGGAATGCGGATGGTAGTGACTGACTGTTCGAGCGCTGCCTGCTTTGCCAGGAAGTTTGCTCTTTCATTCCCGGCGCAATTGCTATGACCTTTCGTCCATGTAAGAATGAAGTTCTTTTGGCTGGAATTGATAATTGCTTGTATTTGTTGGGCTATTGGTGAATTTGTGCAGGGATTTTAAATAGCATAGATTGATGATTGGCTGTCACTGATGATATGGACTGTGTCCGTTGGTAGATGGTGGAGCTCTTGCATATTGTACAGGATTGCTGTCAGTTCAGCTTGGTGCACGCTATTTAGATCTCTAAGGTTCTCTTGCCATTCTGTGTGTGAGCTAAGGTTGAATTGATGGTGGAGCTCTTGCATATTGTAGAGGATTGCTGTCAGTTCAGCTTGGTGCACGCTATTTAGATCTCTAAGGTTCTCTTGCCATTCTGTGTGTGAGCTAAGGTTGAATTGATGGTGGAGCTCTTGCATATTGTAGAGGATTGCTGTCAGTTCAGCTTGGTGGACGCTATTTAGATCTCTAAGGTTCTCTTGCCATTCTGTGTGTGAGCTAAGGTTGAATTGATGGTGGAGCTTTTGCATATTGTAGAGGATTGCTGTCAGTTCAGCTTGGTGCACGCTATTTAGATCTCTAAGGTTCTCTTGCCATTCTGTGTGTGAGCTAAGGTTGAATTGAATGGTTGCAGCACTGCCAACTTTCATTCGATCTTTGAGCCGTCAGTGAAAGCCGAGATGTTATGCAAAAACATTCTTAAATTGCATTCGATAACGGTGGAAATGGATGTTTTCTTTGAAACATGATGCCTGAAACTTTTCGCGATTACAATACTTCCCTTTTACTTCGTACAAGGAAGTAAAAAGGAAAGAAAGTGTACAACTAGTAGCTCTGCAAATAAACTAAAATCCAATTTAAATTTCCCCTGTGGAAGAGATTATTAATGAGATTTTTAATACTAGGAAATCTAAATCCTTATCCAAGAACTAAAAACTCGGATCTTCGTAGCAGGATCGAGATTTTTTTGCGGAAAGCAGGATTCGAAGGAGGATTGAGTTTCAAAATTATTTGCTTAGGATCCTGCTAGGCATTTAATGAATCAAATACAAGCTCGAAATATATGACGTTTTATAAAGTCATATAGTTCGAGCCCAGATGATTTCTCTGAATATATGATTTCTTTCGTGGTTTTTCCCGTGTGTCATGTGAATATGAGTCTATTTCCCATATAAATTTCTCCTCGATGGTATTCATTCGCTTAAGCGTACAGCCTTTTTGTGCTTTATCATATTCAGATAATTTAAGTGGAGTTGGAACCCCAAAATCTTCAAAAAATTGTGATTTCGGATTTTTGCATTTTCAAATTCTCTACACTTTTATCTTTCTAAAAATACCATTCTTTAATCTCTATGAAGATTAGAACTGTAAAAAAATCTAGTTTTAATTTGTCATCGATTGCTTCGATCAATGAGGATTTTTACATAAAAACGCGTTTTGCTCTGTAGTGAAAATATTTATATGTAGTGAAAATAATATTAAGAAGAGCTATATGTAGTGAAAATACTTATATATTTTAATTTCTTATGTAATAAAAATGTGTTAATTTCTGTATGCTATGAGAAATATCTAATATAATTATTCAGGTGTATAAGTGATAACCAAAATTTCGAATATCAATTTTATCAGCGATGAAATTATAACAGTGATTAAGAGTACATCACGTTGTTTCCGCAATAACCCGAATGATAGGGATAAAATATGTGACCCACAGAGGATAGCAAAATAAAGTACTTACCCCAGACGTTGTGATAGTTGAAGAAGAAAATACAAGTTATACATCTACAATTCACTCTATTTATCTTTCCTATCAAAATTTTTATTGCTGAGCTCACACAAATAAACAAGAAAATTAAATAATCAGATCATAACTACAGTCCTACTAAAAATACAGAGCGTCCACTCGTATCGATACACTACAGAGCACTATCCATTTGCATCACTTTCTATAAATCACAAAAAACCTGGAATCGAAGATATATGTAGACCAGGAGTATACTCATCTTGAAATTTCTTTTGATTTTGAAGCTTCTACCCAGTGGATTAATTTGGAGCAGTCACCACGTGGCGATAGACAATGGATGAGTCTTAAATTCATGAAACGAGGTTGTAGGTGAAGAGACAGTCCGTGAAGAGACAGTCCGAAGCCCGTCCTTCACCCTTGAACTCCCAGCAGCAAAGAGAAAGAAACCGGTCCAACAACTGCCACCAAGGGCTAGTACGAAACAATGACGATTCTTGAAGCGATAGTTTGATGATAGATGCCGGCTTGCTAGCACATTCTCCAAACGTGATTTTTTTATACTCGATGTACCTTTTCTCAGGAACTACTGCTCACAGGTATCTAAACATTTTATGGCTTATTTATTAGGTTCCCTAATATTTACTGAAATGAGCCTTTTGTAATAAACTTAGAAAAACAAATTTTTTAAATTTTTTTGTGTGAGAAAAGTGCTAAATTTTACTATGCCTAACAAAATATCCTGTAATTTACTCTAAAACTCAAAATGCTTCAAAAGCTCATTTCAGTATAATCAGATAGGTATACTTTAATTACAGAAAAAATTTGAAGCTTGTATCTACAGCAGATTTTGAGAAAAGGTACATTGAAATTGGCCAATTTACATTGTCAGTATAGGGGTTTCTGATACCCCTTAAAATACTGATGTGCCCGGATTCAACCGAGGCAACACATTGCTTTCATAAAAGCTAACTT